GTTAAAGACTAGGATGCCTACTGAAAGGTTCTAACCCACTAGTCACTCCATGGGAGAAAGATGTGGCAGTCTGCTTCCATAAAGATTTACAGCCTTGGAAATCCTATGGGGCAGTTCTACTCTGTCCTGTAGGGTCGCTAAGAGTTGAAGTTGACTCCATGGCAGTGGTTTTGGGGTTTCGTGATCAGGCCAAAAGAATAGCATGACAGGCAGCAGAAGTGCAGATAAACACAACCTGGGAGGTGGTCCGAATATAACTGATAGAAGGTCTAAGTCCAAGTCCATGAAATGAGACTGATGAAGCCAGACAGAAAAGTCAAGGGAGAATCAAGCAGTAGAAGTCAAAGCTGTATTTTTCCCAGTCATGTGTGTAGCTGCTCTCTCTCAGTGGAGGCTGTAGAATTGGATGAAAAGTTTCATCTCCTTCTGTCCTCTTACAAGTGATGACCCTTGCTTGCCTGATGTCTACTCAGTCCCCACAATTTTCTCTCCCTCTCTCTTTCCCTTCTTCCCTCGCTCCAGTCCTTCCTCTGTCCACGTCTCTCTAGTTAAATCTATGTTGCTTGTTTTATTCCATGGTTAACCTGTAAGTCCCAGCTACCCCCGATACTTCTCTTTCACCAGCTGTCACTTGTTTTAAATGATCTGTGAGTAGATTAAAAACTGGGCGCTTCTCCTATGCCCACACCTAGGGCTGGCTTAGCAACATCTCTATTTAAAAAAGGAAACCTGGGAGTGGAAACTGACTAGAAAGAAAATGAGAAATTTATCAATCCACTTTGTCCAGATGAAGGACAAGTCAGCAGAGATGGTTGACATTTATGAGTGGAAGGGGAATTCAAATAATTATACAATGCCTGGGCTTGCGGACATGTTTTGTAGTTTTGGATAGAGTTCCTGTTTCCACCCAAGGGGAGAATTTTTGCCCACATGCTTACTTAGAGTGAGCTGCCATGTGCCCCATGCAAGATGCTTGGCTGGGCATAGATCAGAGGAGCAGGTCACATACATTCATAAGATTTCAACTGCATTTCCTTCTCCTGTGAATTAATCTTTTTAAATGTCACCATTTTAAACTTGGCCTTTTTGAAAAATATAATACCATATGAACCTTACTTAATCAAAAATATATTCCTAGGTCAAAGTTCCCGCCCTCCCCACTTCTCCCCAGAAGATGGGCCTGTGTGAGAAGATCTGTTTTGTTTTAATTTTACTGTGCTCTAGGTGAAAGTTTACAGCTCAAGTTAATTTCTCATTGAAAAATTTATACACATATTGTTTTGTGACATTGGTTGCAATCCCCATAATGTGCCAGCATGCTCGCCCTTTCCACCCTGAGTTCCCTTTGTTCATTCTTCCAGTTCTTGTCCCTTCCTGCCTTCTCCTCATGCTTTTGGACAGGAGTCGCCTATTTGGTCTTGTGTATTTGATTGAACTAAGAAGCGTGTTCCTCATATGTGTTATTTTTTATTTTATAGGCCTGTCTAATCTGTTTTTGTCAGTTGGATCTAGGCAACTTTGTTCCTTGAGAATCTCAACTATTATTCCAGGTCTGAATCTTTACAAACCAAAAACTCCTTTGCCATGGAGTCAGTTCCGACTCATAGTGACCCTATAGGACAGAGTAGAACAGCCCCATAGGGTTTCCAAAGCTGTAAATCTTTATGGAAGCAGATTGCCACATCTTTCTCCCGGAATCTTTACAAAGCCAACTTTATTTTCTCCTGGGTTTGCGCTCACCTACTAACCTAAAGGTTTGGTAGTTCGAATCTACCCAGCAGTGCCATGGAGGAAAGGCCTGCTGATCTGCTCCTGTAAAGATTACAGCTGCTATGAAGCAGCTGTAGTCTGTAATACTTGGGGTCGATATGAGTCGAAATTGACTCAACTGCACTGGGTTTGGTTATGATTTTTGTCTACCATGAGAAAATTTAGAATTATATGATTCCAATCTAGCTTTTAAAGGAAAATAGTGGGTCTTTTATAGCTGTACTGTTTTTAAAGTTATTTATGTAGTATGCATTTTTTACATAACAAATTACCTGTTTCTTTTATAACAACTCGTTCAGTTAAGAGGATAAGATATTCATGTGCTCATTTTATAGATTAGGTAACTGAGACCCAGGGAGGTGTAAAGACTTGCATAAAGTCACTGTCATGAATTGAATTGTGTCTCCCCAAAATACCTGTCAACTTAGCTAGGTAATGATTCCCAGTATTGTGTGATTATCCATCATTTTGTGATTGATGTAATTTTCCTATGTGTTGTAAATCCTAATCTCTGCCTGTGATTAATGAGGCAAGATTAGATTATGTTAAAGAAGATTAGGGTGGGATGTAACACCCTTACTCAGGTCACATCCTTGAGCCAATGTAAAGGGATTTTCCCTGGGGTGTGGCCTGCATCACCTTTTATCTTACAAGAGATAAAAGAGAGAAGGGAACAGAGAGACGGGGACCTCATACCACCAAGGAGCAGGGAGCTGAGTGTGTCCTTTGGACCTGAGATTCCTTCAAAGAAAAGTTCCTAGACCAGGGGAAGACTGATGACGAGAACGTTCCTCCAGAGTCAACAGAGAGAGTAAGCCTTCGCCTGAAGCTAGCACCCTGAATTCAGACTTGCCTACTAGACTGTGAGAGAATCAACTTTTGTTTGTTCAAGCCGTCACTTGTGGTATTTCTATTATATAGCAACACTGGGTAATGAAGGCAATCACCCATTTTCTTAATGGTACACCAGAATTGAAGCCTGGAGGAGCCTTCGAAGCTTTTCCCACAGCACTGGGTTCTACCTAGAATGAATGAACTGGAAGGCCAGAGAAATGGGTTGGGATCTCAGGAATGCTAACTACTATGTTAACCTTAAGCAAACAATTAATCCTTCCTTGATTCCAGCTTCCTCATCTCTAAAATGGAAAACCATTGCTTGTTCATCTTTCTAGACCAAGATGCTATAAAGAATAAAAGATAAAGTGTTTGGTAGCGTTTTAATAGGTAAAAAATGCTGAAAGATCAAATAATTAACCATTATTATCTTGAAAAATAATAGAGCTGAATTCAAAGTCATGTCAGGTATAAGGTGAGGTGTCTTCCATCCTTTGCCCAACACTGTTAGGGACACAAACAGAGAGGGGGATTTAGGGGCCCTGACAATGCCATGATCATTTCAGGTAGGTTATATTTTTAAAACTATGTGCATGCACCTTTTATTATATGGATATTACCATATGCATATTATCAAAGCCTTCAGAAAAACTGAATATCCGATTGGAACTGGTAATCAAACACCATTAATTTTCAGAAACTTTTGGTAGTCAGTGCCCTTCAGATTTGGAGAGCATCCATCTTAGCAAACTCTTGGCTGCCAGGGGATGTCACAGGGATTCTGTCAAATACAGAGAGATGCTTCTAGCTGGAGGAGGGTGCCGGGGACCAGGACAAGCCCCACCCCCTGTACATCTAGAGCAGAAGCTTCCAAGCACTGTGATGTCCCCTCCCTTCCCTCTGATATTGGGCTGTGTTTTTCAGGGTGATGTTCAGAGGACACTTATCCAAGTGGATTTTGGTGATGGCATTGCAGTGTCTTATGTCAACCTCAGCTCCATGGAAGATGGGATCAAACACGTCTATCAGAACGTGGGCATTTTCCGAGTGACCGTGCAGGTGGACAACAGTCTGGGGTCTGACAGCGCCGTCCTGTACTTACATGTAACTTGTATGTTATTACTGTTGTTGGTTTATAACATATTGTAAATATTGTGTCCTTTTCAAATCAAACCCAAATTTCATATCTAGAAGAAACTCACTTTTAACAAAAGGGAAAAGGGGAATGTGAGAATCAGAGAAAAAGTGGGAAAAAAATGAGAAGAAAAGGCGGTGAGGGGAATTTGAACAATCTTGGGCTCTCATTTGCTTTAGATTGTTCTCGTTACACTAACAATACCCTCTTCAGGGGCTTCCAAGATATAAGACCTTGTCTGGGGTCTGAGCCTGAGAAAGTCACAGAGCTATTTTGTAGAATTTATCTCTTTTTTTTTTTTTAAATTGGCCAGAAATGGTTGAAAACAGCCCACATTCCTGGTTCCATGTAATACATTAAGAATTAGCATGAGCAAAGTAATTTCTTCTCCAGCTAATTGTTCTTCTCTTCCCATGTTACGGTTACTATTATTAATTATTTTAGACTTATGCATCTCTAGCTTTTTTTTTTTTTTTTTTTTTAATGTGTTCCCTGGGCTTCTGTCTTGTGGGTGATTTGGTATTAGGGAGAAGGTAGTATAGGACGAGGAGCACTGGTGGCCCAGTGGTTAAGAGATTGGCCACTAACCAAAAGTCAGCAGTTCAAATCAACCAGCAGCTCCTTGGAAACCCTATGGGGCAGTTCTGCTCTGCCCTATAGGGTTGCTATGAGTTCGTATAGGGCAAAGCGTGTAAACAATGTCAAGGAAGCTACACTAGACAACATTTCCAAGAAAGGCGTCAGCCTTTCCCTGTTGAGGAATCTAAAGTTGTGACTGAATATGATGAGATAATGATAATTCTGAAGTTGTGTTTGATGAAAATGTGTCATAAACGCCTCTTATGTTAGGTGTGTGGGTGTCCCCCAAACAGTCATAGGAGTTATTTTGGTTTCTAGAGAAATAGGTTACTTTAAAACCAAAGTCGCTCCTGTACGTGAATGATCTTGTTCAAATTAATCTCAAGGTCTAAGTCCAGAGTATTAAGACCAGATGGTGCTCCATGCCTCTCCCCAGTACCTTGCTCATCTGGTCAAACTGAACAGAAAAAGCAACAACTAAACTCTGTTTTGAAGGCTGCTGTGGTGGCAGCAGGAGGACAGGACTCCATAGGGGTCCCCAAGATACTGGTTGCTAAGGATTCCTACTATGTCAATAATTCTTGATCTTTTATCTCTTATGACACTTATGACAGAGGTGCTTCAAAGAAACATACACTCCCATCAGGTGGGAATAAGATTACTCATGAGTCCCAGTATGACAGTTCCACCCGTCCCTGCTTCACAGCTAAAGTTTATGAAGCTATTACTGTGTTCCAGGTTAAACAAGATCTCACTTTTTCAAACTACCCTGTGAAGTCGATACTACTAGAAACCCTACTTTACAAGAGAATTGAGGTACAGAGACCTTAAGTAGCTCATTTGAAGGTACATTCCTACTATCTGGCACAGCCATCGTTTAGACTCAGGTCTGTCTGCCTCAGGAATTCCAGCTCTTGATCACTAGGGTTAGTGTCAGTACCAAGTATGTCTTGGGGTTGGAATGACTAAATCTTCATCAGCCCTACTCCCCCTTCACATCTTTGCTGATCATCACAAAGGGACGTGAATATTAGTTTAGAAGCAGTGTATTTGCTATACAGCAACATAGGTTCAATACACGTTTCATAGGCCCTTTTACAACTGACTGAAACCCCTGAGTCCATCCTATATAGACTTTCTGGAGTTGCCTTTTGCTAAGACATAATAAAACCCGTTGCCATCAAGTTGATTCCAACTCATAATGACCCTGTAAGGATCCCTTGTGGTGCAGTGGTTAAGTGCTTGGCTGCTAACTGAAAGGTTGGTGGTTCAAACCCAGCAGCTGCACCGCAGGAGAAAGATGTGGCAGTCTGTTTCTGTAAAGACTTGCAGCCTTGGAAACCCTTTGGGGCAGTTCTACTCTGCCCTATAGGGTTGCTACGAAGGCATAATACCACCCTACACATCAGTATTCAGAGGAGTGATAGCATAAGAACAATCTTAAAAAGTTTTTAAAGTACATTATAAACTTTGATTTTTAGTAATAATAATTGCTTGCAACACAAAAGGTGATACATTTGCTGAGAATGGCTGCCCACAGAACAGCTTATCTTCCCCCCAGCTTGCTCTATAAGCAGGATTTTTAAAGAATGACCTTCCTTAAGAGTTACGATAATTGTATTCCATCCATAGCCCATATGTTTATTAAACACCTACTATACTCCAACCATGTGTAAATACTGATTTAAAATTCAGTAGCCGTTTTTGTCTAAATTTCTCAAGGTCTCCCACTGAGTATTCTTTAGCTTGCTCTCCAGCTTGTCTTGTGAACTCTTTCTTGCCCCTCAATGTCATCATATCACTTCAGGGGTTCCCTTTCCCCAGATCCCTCCCCGATTTACTAAATCCTGGGAAGGAAAACAATTTAGGGCTTGCCCATGCTCAAGATTAAGGGCTACTGAAGCCATGATTTATAAAAGAAATTCTAATGTTTTAATTACATTAGAATAGTTGAGCAGGTAAAAGATTTGACCTTAACCCTACTGGAAGATGATTTGTAATTTTTGTGGTTGTAACTTTCGTGTTCTAATGTTAATTTTGTAGACTCATCTTGATTAAGTGTTTGGATAAGCATGTCTCGTATAATGGGACCCCTTTCTAGCCTGGCCTTGGGGACAAGATTTAACTTTTTGTACTAACTGTGTTAAACCAAGATTATGTTTTAAGCTCTTTGTTAACTCACATGCCTCCAAAACCCACTTCATAAGCAGTTTCAGCAGGTTCTGACATGTTTGCTTAGCACTTTTCTTCTAAAGGACCACTGTGCTTTACCGTGCACATAAATCTGTTTGCTCATCCTTACCTCTCCAGTGGAGAAAACAAAGATTAGAGAAGCACTATGGCTTTTACACCATTTTATACTCAGTAGCAGGTAGAACAAGACCATAATTGAGTCACACTCATAGCCATCTTAACCTGAGAGGTGTCATGAGCACCTTTTGGTACAAAGTGCCAGGATATAGAGGGAGGGAGGAATGGCTTTGTAGGAAAATATATATACATATATATGCAAGCACTGGACTTAGTTGGACAATCTGGTTAGCTCCAGAAGCTGGCCCAAACCCCTCGTCAAATCACTGTCTCTCGGAGCCCAGGTTTTCACCGCTGTCAAATGAGGAATGCCTATCCGGTTCCCAAAGATCCCATCAAGCAAATCATCTGTGCTCTGTCAGCCAGTAAAACTTGATTTTGCCGACATCCCAAAGGAGCACATGCATTTGAACTCAGTGCGTTCTGAACGAGACAAAATTGGCAGCAACTCCACGCTTGCCAAGACTGCCCTCTGGCCCCGCAGTACCCCCTTCCCTGCACGCCCTCTGAAAGACCGTGGCCTGGCTTGCACACACTCCGTCCACACTCTGGTGCACAGAGGTGATTTAATTCCAAACCAGCGTCTGTAATATGGGTCTGCAAAGGTCATCAGAAACAAATGGAGACCTCGTTCCTGCCCTAAGGTCTCCAGCAGGGCCCTTGCTGGGTAATGTTGTCGCCTGGCAGTGGGGAATTCCTTGAGGAGAGTATTCACTCACTCTGCGCTGCTGGTTTGCAAACTAATAGAGACACATGGTTCAGCCAGCGTTGCCTTTAGCCTGATGGGGCAGAGGATTTAGAGGGCATGCCGATTTCTGCTCAGAAAGCTGCCCTGTCTCAGCCAGTCTTGCAGAAGAAAATCACTGAAGACTCTGCAGACGTGCAGAATGAGAGGTGAAAAAAAGATGAGGCAGATAGATATGCTAGCCCCTCTCAAGCCCTCTTCTCAGGGCACAATCTTGCACATGGTGGTTAACGTCCATTTGCATATGTCTTCCTAGCCTTCATTTTAGGGTAAAGTGATCCGTTTCTTGGAAATCTATGTCATTTTGCAGCTACTCACATGTCATTGTATTGGTCTGCAAAAGTCCATCCAAGTTTCGTAAGTTGTAGTTAATTAGACACCTGCCCCAGAATTACATGATAAAAATGCAGTGTCCTGGGCCCCATTCCAGACTCACTAAATTGGAATTCCTGGAAGTGGGTCCCCCCCCCCCCACACACACACCCACCCACACACGAAGTTTAGTCTCAAAGAAGTCAGCTTTTTGCTCTAGCATAGGAGGGCTAAACAAGAAAGCAGAGGGAAACCCAATTCACACAAGTATTTCCCCTGTTCTCTCAACCACTTGCCAGGAAGAGTCATATGAAGTGATGCATTGCCACCTACTGTCTCTTTTGTGCATCGCAGGCACCTGCATGATGGTGCAGCACCTGCCAGCTTGTTCAGCTTTCTCAGTGCAGCCAGCCAGCTGTTAGGGCAGATTGCACCCTCTGTGCATAGCAGAGAAGCTTAAAAGATAGACTTTGGGCAGCAGAAATCAACTGTATTAAACCTATAAAAATAAAATGAATACAAGAGTTTGCGGAAATCTCAAAAATACATTTCACACACACTTACATGTATGTTAATGCGTATACAAGGTCCCTGGGTGGTGCAAACATGTTGGATTCGGCTACTAACTGAAAGGTTGGCTATTTGAGTCCACTCAGTTGTGCCATGGAAGGAAAACCTGGCTATTTACTTCCATAAGATTAAAGCCATTGAACATAGTCCTACTCTAAAGTACAGCTCTCCTCTGAAGCACATGGGGTCGCCATGAGTAAGAATTGACTTGATGGCAATGGATTTTTAAAAAATAATATATATGTATGCAAGAATGAACTCATGCAAACACACATATACATATCTTGGGGCCTACAAGGCTGACCTGCTATGGATGCTGACTACCTCTAAGCTCTCATTAGCTTCTCCTCTTTCCCTCCATCTCTACTGCAGTCATCCTGGCTGTTTTGATGTGCCCCACACATGGTGAGCACATGGCCTCCACCAGGTCTTTGCACGTGCTGTACCCTCACCCTGGAGAATCCCAAATAGAAAGTTGACACATTCCTTACTTCCTTCAGGTCAAATGTCATTTCCTGAGAGAGGCCTTCCTTCACCACTCTGTCAAATATCGCGCGTGCCCCTCATTCTCTCACCTTCCCTGCTGTATGTGTTTAATGCCTGCCTCCCTCACTAATAACTAAGCTCCAGCAAGTGCCAGGTATCCTTAGCACCTAGAACAATGCCTGACACATAGGAGCACTAAAAGACCGTTGAATGAATGAATGACCATATTTCACTAACATGATTCAATTTTTGTAAAATTATCGAACATGTAGTCATTGTGCTTACTTTGATGTTCTGACTTTAAAAAAAAAAGTAAGTACTCATATGGGGGAGAACCAGAAGGAAATCAACCCCCTGGAATAGAACTAGCATTTCTAGCAGAGCATATCTAGTTCTTGTGTTCTGATTGACTTCACTCAGCTGAGAGAGTCAGCAAGAGCATCTCAGAGGAGGGAACACTAAAACAGACTTGAAGATGGACAGGTGTATAAGAAAAGTGTGTAAGCAAAGGCCCAAGGGCAGGACAAGGTATGGCCTGCTGGAATAAAACGTGTCCTGGGGGAAGAGTGAGAGCTGTGCAATAAATTAGAGCATGTTAGGTGCTTTCCCGAATGTCTGGAACATATTTAAGTAATCAGTAAGTAATGACTCTTAAGAGACCTTTTGTTAGAATAGACTGAAAAGGTCTTATCAGGCATATGTCTACTGGCCAGAGCATGGGCTCTGAAATCAGACCGCTTGAGTTCACACGTGTTTCTTAGTTGTGTGACCTTGGGTTAGTCATCTGCCTCTGTTTTTTCATCTCCAAGTAACGGTAGTAGTGTCTACTTCATAAGGTTGTTGTGAGAATTACATGAGAAAAAAGAAAAAAACAGTAGAGTCCTCACAGAATACGTAGCATATAGTTATCACTTAATAAATGTCATCCTTATCTCCCTTATTAGTTTCTCATACCTTTCTGACTTACAAGCAACTACTTCCTCACATATGGGTTGTAAGCCAGAAGATCAATTCTATTCTGCATGCTCATCACCAAACCTCTTATTCTATAAAGAGAGAGTAGCGTGAACAAAGGCAGAGGCAGGAAATTATATCATTTGTTCATTTGCCCAGTTCACGCTTGAATATCAGCTACATGCCAGGAACTATACTAGTCTTTGTATGTAAAGAAAAACACGAAGCATTATTACCATTAAAAAGTTTGAAGCCTCTGTCGTGTGTCTCACAAATAATAGATCAATATGTGTTAACAATGATTATTATAATTAAGTAATGGGAAACTTAATTTTGAATAAGTGAGTAATATGATCAGCTTGACCTTCTAGAAAAATCACTTTTGCAATAATTTGGAGGACAGATTAGAGTGGTAAAAGGTTAGAGGCAGGAAAATTTAAGAGAGTTATAATGGCCCAGATGAGACAGGTTTTAAGTGAATTAACCAGGGCGCCAGATTGGGGAGAGTAAGAAGTGGCTCTAATTTAGAGATATTTATGAAACCACATAAGTGGTTTCCTAAATGGTTGTGGGTGGCAAGAAAGTCTAATTGACTTTCTACTTCTGGATTGGGCCCCTGGATGAGTACTGGTGTTATTCACTGAGATACAGAAAATATGGAATGGGGAAAATAATAGGATCCAGCTCTGCTGATTGGCTCTGGAGCCACCAAGGTGACTTTGGAGTCCTTGACATCATTTTATAGTTGATGTTCAGGTTATAGGTGACATTGCCCCACAGAAGAGTAGGTAGAGAAAGAAAAAGGCTAAAGACAGGTCCCTGGGAAACATGTTTAAAGGGTAAACAGAAGAAGAGGTGGTATTAATTCCAGGATGGAAAGGCCCGAGGTACCAGTCGTCTCCAACTTCTAGAAAATGGTGTTGATGGTGGATTTGCATCATGTTCACTTCAAATACAGCTGCAGTTTGCCCAGAAACAGTGACCCAAAGAACAGATTGAGTGTCATAGTAAAGGCCCTTGTTGTTCCCTATAAGAGCATTTATATTTTTGTGGAGTTTGTACAACTGGTTAAGGTTTATGGTTTGTATAAGCCTCCATAGGTAGAAGCACACAGTTTTGAGCACATCTTGAAAATCTCATAACCACAGATCTCTCTACGTACTCATGAATACCTTTGTCCAGGACAAGCTTAACTCAATTCCAGAGTTTGTTTCCTGCTTACCGAATCAGATAGCTTTACACACACTCACACATAAAAACAAACTTGCACACACTCACATACACACACAGGATTTTTCAAAACCCAATAGACAGTAAAGACTAATTATGTGTAGAATGGTTTGAGGATTTTTTTTCTCTTTGAACATGAATTGTATAAGGTTTTCACCAGCCTGGTTTACCACCAAGGAAATAACCTCTTGGAAGGACTTTGAATCTCCCTGTGAAATCTAGGATTATGCCTGCTCATTCAAGGACTTCATACTTGTAAATTTTTAAACTTTTAAACATGAATAACTCAGGTTTTAGACTGATAGAAAGCTCTGTGAATGGAAAATATTGAGATGCAATTGTTCATAATATATGCTTTTCTCCAAAGTTGGGAAAGCACCTGAGCAGGGGATACAGCTGCAACGTTTTAGAGGCTTCAAGAATGAATATGTGTTCTCTTTAGAGCAGAGAAGTGAAGCAGAGAAAGCCCTGCCTTCTCTACAGTCCCTCTTTCTCTTGTACCTCAGGTCCCCTGGAGCATGTGCACCTGTCTCTTCCCTTTGTCACCACAAAGAACAAAGAGGTCAATGCAACTGCAGTGCTGTGGCCCAGCCAAGTGGGCACCCTCACTTATGTGTGGTGGAAAGGAAACAATACGGAGGTGGGTCGGCCTTCTGCATGTGGTCTAGTGACAAAAGTGCAATGCAAACTTGCTGAAGCAAAGAAGAGAATGAGTTGGCTCATGTAACTCAAGATTCTAGGGGTAGCTCTAGCTTCAAGGACAGCAGGAACTCGGTACACAAATTATTTCTTCAGTTTGTTCATTCTCAATCTCTCTCTCTCTCCCCACTCTCCACCCCCTCCATCTTATCTCTACCATCCTGTATCAATGTTGGCTTTCTTCTCAGTTTAGACTTTTTTTTCTGAGTGGCCCTTAGCAACCCAACCTTCACAGCTCAACAAAGAAAGAAATTCTCCCAAAAGTTCTAACAGATGTCTTATTGGCCAGGCAGAGCGGGAGAAGTTGGAGTCAGCCTCCTTGGAGCTACATGGACAGAGAGTATGTGAGAAGTGGTTCCCAAAAGGAAGAAGAGGAAAATGGATGCTGGACAGGCAGAAGAAATAGATTTTCAGTGCACCCTTACCCCCTAAATGGCCCCCTCATGAGAAATCAGACTTGGCCGTTTCTTTAGACTAGCTTTACTCTTTATGTTTTCCCAAAATTGATCAAAAGTCAGCAGCAATTGTAAAACCAGTAGAAACTTTTAACCTTATTTATGCAAAAACTTTCACTGTGCAGATAAGAAAAGTGAGGATGAGGCAGATGAAATGACTCACCCCAGTCTCATTCAGCTGCTTCACACAGAGACCAGATTCAAGGCCTTCTGATGCCTCCATTCATTGTTCTTCTCATTACACCAGGCTGCAGCTTCTGTTTCAGTTTTCAACTTGCTCCACTTTCAGAAATTAAAATGCTTGCAAACATAAGTTAG